GCATCGCTTTCGTGCACGTCACACAAATTCTCGCATGTGGCATCGTTCAATTTGCATAAGAAAGTGCATAGTAAAATGTTTGCGTTCAATAGTGCGGCTGTTGCTCCACGTGCCTGTTACGGGCACACAAAGTGAACATAAACCTGAGTAGTGGAGACGATGTTATAACACATCATATACTATTATACTAAGCTGAGAAACACTTGAGCTGAGCCGAAGTGACTTTGCTTTCTGTCGAATAAGAGATTTGAACAAAGACTTGTAACCTGAAACTCAAGAAAAAGACTTGGGAAAGTACCTTGTGGGAACGTAGTTCGAGCTATTTTATTTTTTAAAAATTCTGTAACATGTCGATCATACTTGACAGCATAAATAAGACCTCTAACCCCGTGGAAAGCAAATCAGTACTTCAACTCTATAGATCCTGGAGAACAAATTGTAAAGGCAACTTCTTCCACACTGCTTTCACCATCTTCAATACTAGGAGCAAGCAGTTTGCATCTGATAAGATCATCTTTTGCATCTTTCTCATAACTTTTTGTTAGACCGTAGTGGCACACTCGGCTTTGTGTCACGACATGTGCACCCGTTCTTAAAGCACACAGAGAATTGTGGATTGTTCTCAACGACAGCTGACCTTGCAGTCGAGAGCTCAACTTCCATCACTCAAGACAAACAGGGTGGCGGGCGGATGCAACGCGATCGCTACTGCCTTCTTACGTTGTGGTTATCAGCGTAGTTCTTGTGATAAACACAAATGACGGCATTTGTTGTTCCTCTGCAGTTAGTCGCTTTCACCTTCAAAACATGCTTTTAGAAGTACTTTGGTTGTCGCCATGATATCTGTTTTGTTTGCCAAATTAAATTTATGATTTCTTCGCGCCTGTCCAAATATGTCACTTTTCATAATATTCTAGCATACTGGTGGAACCTTCTTATTTAGCTCTATGCTTGTTTAGCTCTCATTCATGATCTTCACAATGTTTATGGAATTTTGTTTTTTGAATGCCGTACTGAAGATCCTTTTTAGGCATGGTTAAAGTTGATACCGTGCAAACCAAACCTTTCAAAGGCCAGAAGCCGGGAACCAGCGGTTTGAGGAAGCGGGTATGTTTTATGGACCTTCTAGATATGATGAGGAGAAGTTGATGTGAATCAAACAACTGTCGATTATAAATCACTGAGTGAACTTTTCCTTAATTATTAGAAGTGAT